GGGAAGAAATACCATATATACCCCTCTTTTAAAGGGCGACTTCGGTTTTTAGGTGACCCAATCGCCAAAACCTGGGTGTGGAGAATCATCATTCACTACCCTTTTAGTTCGGGCGCCGCTGTGGAATCATTAGGTATTTGAAAACAAGAGAGATGAAAATCGCCGGGAATCGAACCACGGATTTCTGGAATACGCGCCCAGCGTTCAGGCCACTACACCAGGAAGGCATGCTAAGAAGGCGGGAGAAATACCTTATAACGTGACCGCTCCTAAGACATATGACACAACCCTTGTCTAGTCGTCTACCAAGAACTTGTGGCATCCATGCCAAGGCAAGCTACGTCTGTTTTGCAGACCGAAGGTCGCGCAGCGCGTTATTGAGTTGGCGGTCATAATGTTTGGGCTCTTCAGTGTATACTGTAAAATATATTGTACAGTCATTAGATTTCTTTTAAGCAGGAGACGTGAAAAATCTGTAGGGACACACAGGGACTCGAACCTGTATCTCTGGAATGCGCGCCGAGTGTGCTACCATTGCACCACGAAGGTATGCTGGAAGGAGTGAGAAAATACCTTATAATATGTTTCATTATTACTATCTGAACGCACTGAAAGTGGAGCGATTTTATAAGAGATTTCGTGTTTCCGCCTTTGTTTTACAAGCACCTGAGCTGTTGTCTTATATTCGATTTCATAACACCCCGACTGTTTTTATACCTGATTTATTATGTACATTTTACATTTCTCTACTGTTTCCATAGCAGCAACTGGAGCTATCAAATAGACCTCTGCAACGCCATTTGTGGTTCTGAGAACAAAAATCAAACAAATATTTTAAATTATATCTATTTAGTATAATTTTAAAATGTTGAAAAATTAAAGTTTTACCTTCAAAAATGAATGTACGAGTAGAGTTTGAATGAATTTCTATACATATCGTTTTCATAATTTTGTATTTTGAATTATACTTTTAGACTAGGGGCATGCGTTGTAGTGCTACTTAAAGGAAAAAGAGTGTTTGTGTTTCAATTCTGTTTATTGAAATGCCTTTCGATACACAATGGTACAATACGTTATGACTTATCCATCTTTCCAACGACCACACTTGGATGAAGACTGTAATCATAATTAGCATCGTAATGGAATGCTCCAAGATTTAAATCAGCGTGCAGTGTTCGTCTGGATCAGGGATCCCCAAACTATTTTGGACAAGTGACCCCTTTTCCAAAAGGAACTGTTACCTCAGACCCCCATGGCCAAATTACCTACTTTTAAGATCAACCCCCTTATTCATAATGGTTCGCTAACTTAAAACAGCTGCTACAGAGTGTTATTTTTCATTCTGACTTAGGTCAATAGAAGAAGACAGAGTGAGAATTAGTAATAACTTTGTAATCTCTTTAAATAAATGAGTACTTATATGAGTTATTATCGTTCAAGCTCCAACGAATTTCAAAACGCAAATGAACTTTCAACCTAAGTGCAAGCTCGTTAAATAGTAAAAATATGAACATGTTTGGACTTGATCATGAATTCGTTCGTGTTAAATCTTGTAAGCGTCAAATAGAGACCAAGTCAAAACGCGCCTGAAAGACGTACGCTCGAACTCGGTACAGCGAAAACATCGCGGCAAAATATCGCGGACAAACGTCGCGGAGAAACAACGCAAGGCAAAAACGTCGTGCTACAAACCATCGTGGGAGAAACATCGCAACGAGAAAACATCGAGTTTAAAACATCGTGGTACAAACATCGTCGTCGAAAATAAAGCGGTTCAAAAACAACTTCCCAGCTTAAAACATCGCGTCGAAAATATCGCGGTAAAAAATAAAGTATCTACAAATCATCGCATGACAATAACATCGCAGACATGCTTCTTTAGGCTTTAATAACTGTAATGGATTTCCCTTATTGATTTGTGATCGCAAGATGGAAGAAGGATATTTTTACTTTCATACTTTTTATTAACTAATAAATTTGCTGAGAAAATAAGAATGAAACTTAAGCTAGAAAATTAATGCAACTTATAGCACTTAATAGAATTTTTAAACCGACATAGTTAACAACAAAGGCCATTAATAATCATTTTTTAAGTTTTTACTGGTAAATTTTTCATGAAAAGTATAATCTATAATTTGCATTTAATTTTTTATGCTTAAGTTCTTCTTACGTTTTCCCAACATTTATTAGTTAATAAAATGTGAAAATAAAATTATCCTTCTTTACTACTGAGCTCACAAATCATTATGGGAATAATTTACAATAATTAAAACCTGGAAAAAGCATGTCTGCGAAGTTATCGTCATGCGATGATTTGTAGATACTTTATTTTTTACCACGATATTTTCGACGACGATGTTTTAAAACTGCGAGTTTTTGAACCGCTTTATTTTCGACGACGATGTTTGTACCCGATGTTTTAGAACTGCGATGTTTTTCTGTTTGCTATGTTTTCTCACACGATGTTTTGTAGCACGACGTTTTCGCCTTGCGTTGTTTTCTCCGCGACGTTTTCGTCCGCGATGTTTTTGCCGCGATGTTATCGGCGGACACCCTCTTGCACAAACTTGTCCACACAAGACTTGCCGAGTTCTTCATCTTGTACGAACTTGAGACTTTACGTTACTACAACAATGCTGTTTCCTACAAAAATATTAATTATTCTTAGCACACGTAACACAACATAAACAATACAGTATCTACCTATCTTGAAAGTTTTAAATAAGAACTTGTGTTAATTTAATAGGGGTCGATTTTTAGACCTCGTCGACCTCCAAAATCAGTTTTCGTTTATGTCGACACCTAGGAAACCATCGACCACTTTGGGAATCCAGGGTCTAGATCGAGCAGTTGCGTACTCGAATATTTTCCAATCTTGCCTGCCGTTGTCAGTTTGTTTCTAAAGCTCGTGGTTCTCTGTTCTTTTTATCGTCCTTAAGGTGCAAATCGAGCAACCGATTTTCTCTCTAGTGTCATAATTGATTTCACAGCAAAAGTAATGCTTTGTGACGTCTATTACAAATTCACTTTCAAAAGCAAAGAAGCGTTTGATGCAATGACACGAATGCTAATGCGTGCGTGTTTTTTGCGTGAAAAATTAAATATTTTACGCTTTGCTGAATGCTAACACACTAAATTTAAATATTTTAATTTGGGCCGTGCAATACATTTCTCTTAAATAATCGAGTTTTTTACTAAATTCGAGACAAATTAGTATAACTGTGTTTTTCCGGAAGGCAGCACATTTTTTTTATATCGCCGAGTATTCTGATTAAATCTGAAACATATATATCTTACGCGTTTGCAGAGTGGGAATGCAAAGTTTTCAGATCACTGAGATTTTAATCAGAAGTTCGTTAAATTGGCGTAAAATATATGCATATCGCTTTTTTTTTTTAATGGACTTCGAACTTTGTACTTCTAGAAAGTTTCGTGACGATAGCTATAGTAATGACTGAGTGTATCGCAAACAAATAAGTACACAAACAAACATTCTTCTTTATATATACGAGTCGTATTCGGAAACTAAGTACCCTTTTGAAAAAAAAAAAAAAAAAAAAAAATAGTAAAACAATTTTTTCGAATCACTTTATTCTTACATGAAATACATATCTTAACTATTTTTCAACATAGTTTCCGCCAGTGATCATACTTGTCATAGCGGGTGACCAGTTTTTTGTATACCATAGTAAAGAAACTTCCGCCAGTTCGATAACCACGACTCCACACATTTTTCGTATCATCGTCAGATCAAAGCGCTTGCCACCAAGCTCGCCTTCGCGTGCAGGAACAAGTGTAGTCGGACGGCGCCAAGTCCGGGCGGTACGGCGGGTGATCGAACTGCTCCCAATGAAACTGTCGAAATTAAAGATTGAGTGACACAGCATATGGGGCAACGCATTGTCATGGAGCAACACAAATTCCTTACTGAGCATTCCTCTTCGTTTGTTTGAATGGCACGCTTAGTTTGTTAAAGTCTCACAATATCTTGCCGCATTAAGGTTTCACCTCTGGGAATAAATTCAGTAAGCAAAACGCCTTTCCTATCCCAGAAGAACAGTGCACATGATTTTTTGTGATACATTGTCACTTTGAACTTTTTTTTTCGGAAATGAGGTGTCTCCACTCCATCGATTGTTGTTTCGATTCTGTGTGAAATGACACACTCAAGTTTCATCACTCACAATTTGTTTTAAAAAGTTTTCTTCCTCTCACTGTACCGCGTGGAAATTCAGGGCACTACCAACGTCGCTTTGTTTTCTGAACTCAGTGAGCATTTTTTGGAACCCATCGGGAACACAGTTTGCGATAATTCAAGCGGTCAGACACAATTTCGAACAAAAACCGTACTTAAAATTTGTGGAAATGCCTCTGAAAGAGTTTCATTGTGAGCGTCTGTTCTCATGAATTGCTTCATCAACTTTCCTTACCAAATCATCGGTGACACAGAAGGCCGACCCTCCGAGTCTCGCGTGGACATTTGTTCGACCTGCATTAACATTCTTACCCCATTTCTCACCATTCCATCACTTATCGCGGTATCACCGTAAACTTCTGTCACTTGACGATAAATTTCGGCCGTTTTAACATTCCTCGCGTTCAAAAATTAATCACGGCACGAATCTCACACGTCAGCGGAGAACTAATTGTCTAAAACTTTTGAATGTGGCACAGTAACTGAAAACACACATAGAGCAACCGAAATGGCGACAATTGAAAGTCAGTGAACAAGAAAGACTAGTGCGCATGCGCGGGACGCCTACCACAGCGCTGCGACGGCGCTAGAATGAAACGGTACTTAGTTTCCGAATACGCTACGTATATAGATTTGTATGCATTGCATTGTATTTTAACTTAAATGAAGCAGAACAAAATTTTGTAAAAATCAAATCATCAGCTTGACATAGACATTACAATATAGTAAATTTATCAATGCCACAAAAAAAAAACTATGTTCATAGATTGTATCAAACTATATTTTTTTAAATCATTTCTTGCAGCTCGCCGAAGTGACGAGGCATCCGTGGGTAATTGCGTAAGTACAATTCATTAACACAATTAAGATTATCTAATATCTACAAAGCTGTATGAATTATACATAATGCGTGTTAAATAGAGTAAAAGTGATCGATATTTTTATATTTCAGAGGAAGCAAATCTGAACTAGAACTAGAACTTCCAATGAAAGAGGCTGTTCAGGTAATGATATTTATTTGAATTACAAATAAATCCATACCTCTATGTATCTTCCTTTCTAAGATGCCATGAAATGTACTTGTACATACACATTTATATTAGCATGATTAATAAAAAAATTAATAAATAGATTAATAAAAATTAATAAATCAAGTTAAATTCTAAATTTTCATGTAACAGGATGTTAGAGTTTCTGTCAATTTTTGTCTAAAGTAAATGTTCAGGAACCTAGTGAATTGTTAAGCGGCCTGTCTCTGAGTTCAAATAACTAAAGACGTAAACTCAAAATAAGATGAACACTTGGCCCCTTTCTCGGGCTTACAACAAAGCCTCGACTCGGGCTTCAACTCAAAATAAGAATACGAACTAAATTAAAACTAAATTAAGAGACTTACCCGAAGCTAACACAATTATCTAACGTAGTTGGCGCTTGATTTAAACTAACAGGTGAATATAAAGAGGCACGTAATATGCGGGCAAGCTTCAAGAGAGACTTAGCCCGAAGGCAAGGCACACGTTATTCAGGATTCCTAGCTCTCTTTAGCGATGTAAGTTGAACCTTCCTTAAATACTACTTCTAACTTATTTGCATTCAATGCGATTCTAAAAACTCATTCTGGTACGGAGTTGTAAGTGGAAACAAAAAACGATAGGAAAGCACATGGAAATTAAGCTGTTTTAAAATTAAAATATAACTTACAAGAATAAAAATGAGAAACATGTCTGTTAGCTCCTATTCGTTTCGCCATATTCTTGTGCTAACGTTAGTAGAGTAGCTGGAGGAAGCTGGAGAGGCGGTACACCCTGGGCGGAAAATTTTTAAAGGTGGCATTTTTTACGCGAAATACTATTATATGGGAATTAGTTAAGTGGATCGTCGAGGCAGGTGAAGAATAATTAGGTTCTAAATGGACATACGGAATTAAATTGAGGGGGAAAAATCTGATGTGCACACCATATGACTTCATTGTACGGAATATTAAATTATACGCATTTTTTCTTGCATTTCATTTAAACTTACTGCATTGAATTAAATCTACTTCCTCGATAGCGCATAGACCAAAATAGAATAAATGCACTCTTTAAATTCGCTATATTGGTTTACCAAAGCGACACTATGGCGCTAGGTTCACTTAACAGCGTTATATTTCGTTCATATTACAACTCAGAATGCACAAAATTTATATCTTTTGAAGAATTATCTAATCGTTGCCACATGTTGTATTCAAATACTTTAATAAATCTAGTACGATGTATAAAAGAAGTTAAGCAAACAAAACAAAAAAGAAACAGTTTTTCACTGACGATTGAGTATTTCTCATTCAATTAATTCAGTTCTCACTTCGCGACAAGGCAAAAACACATAAAATCTCAAGATATCTATATTAAAATTTGCGAAGTAAATCTTAAACACTTATTTCCTCGAATAAATTCCAGAATGGATTAAGCATGATTTAATTCGCAATAATAAATGAAGGCGTTATCTTTTTTATTGCGAAGTTTACTTTCTCTAAATTGGCAACAAATCTACTATTCTGATCTAATTTTTAAATAACATGACGCATACATTTGTTTACATTTGAAAATTTGATTGTAAAATATTGCTTGCAGATTTATTAAAGGCATACAAAACCTTAACCGGAGATGAAGATAGGAACAACAATCATTTTTAACACAATTTATCAGAGAAAACTGAGATCAATGAGCCGGGTAACAAAGTAGATATATATATAAATATATTTATTACGTTTGGTGGGCCGATTGAAACCAAAATACGAGGGCCACATCTACATGTTATAGCAGTCTATATACAAAAATTTCCAACGTCTGAGGCTACTCGTTTTGAGTTATGCGAGATACGTATGTAATACGCACAGACGCCACGAAAAAATCTCTCCAAAATTCATTTTAAAGCAGTTTTATAATTTTGGAGGAGGAAAAGAGTCTTTTATTCTGTCCTTATGTACAGATGTCACGCAAAAACATCGTTAAATTGCATTCCATAGCGGTCAAAATGGATGTTTTCGTTGGAATATGCTGCCTGAAACTTTTCGCGATTACAATACTTCCTTTTTACTTCGCACAAGGAAGTAAAAAGAAGAGTTTTTACTTTCGGTAAAGTATTGAAAGAAAACGCCACAATGATTTCGAAAGCTGCATACTTTTGTTATTCTTCTTTTACTCTATTAGAACTTTGAATGCAAATTAGGAATATCAACTAGATTATGATAGCGATGACGTTACTAAGAAAAATATTATTCATCAAAAAAGAAGCATTTGAGAGTTTGGTTTCCGTTATTGCTATGGAAATCGAAAGGGGAACAAAGAAGAGCTATCCTTTTTATTTTTTGCACTTTATCCTAAAATACAATCTCCAGAACAAAGTTGGACATGTTGCAATACGAGCGCAAACTTCTTAATTTCGATAACTGTGTTGCTAGTTGTGAGAAGAGGTTTCTAGACCAAAGGGCGTTAGCCCAAAATTTATTTCGTTTTGGCATTTCGCGTCGAAAAGTTTAAAAGTCCGAAACACTTTTTAAATTTTTGCCACCAGATATTATCGCTCTGTATTATATTAAAGAAATTAAATAATGAAGAATTTGTATAAATGTATGTATGTTTCTCGCATTGTGATAAAGCAAAGATACCTAGTGGCATCAAATTTTGAATAACGTACGTCTCCACCCGAATATGGGCATTTTGAAGCCGAAATTTGGAATTTGCTTTATTAACTATATCATATGATTTTGTAAAGCATTTATGAATTTTTGATTAACAAACTCAACGATTTCAAAGCGAGCAACGGCAACACTCTAAGGGAAAAAACATTTTCATCTCCAGCGCGAGACCCTGTCTTTCGGAAATTCTAAAGATATGCTCTTTCCAAATTATTTTGCGATATTGCTGTTGATTTTAATTTTATGATTTAAATGCAAAGAATGTGATACTTAATAAATAAACGTAACACAAGAAACGTTAAAAAAACGCCCTTTTGTGCGTATTATAAAATCTAAAAGCTCTTTTTACTTCCTTGTGCGAAGTAAAAAGGAAGTATTGTAATCGCGAAAAGTTTCAGGCAGCATATTTCAACGAAAATATCCACTTTGACCGCTTTCGAATGCAATTTAACGAGTTTTTGCGTGATATCTTACATAAGGACAAATAAAAGACTCTTTTCCTCCAAAAACTAAAAAACTGCTTCAAAATGAATTCTGAAGAGAATTTTCTTGGCGTCTGTACGAACGTTGTACGTACGTACGTACGTATCTCGCATAACTCAAAAAACGGATAGCTCAGAACGTTGAAATTTTGTATCTAAGACTGCTATAACATGTAGATGCGCATCTCGTATTTTTTTTCAATCGGCCGCGCCAAACGTATATAAATATATTTATAAATATATCCACTCTGTACCCGGCTCAGTGATTTCAGTTCTTTACTTTATGTTGTAAATTGTACATTTTTTGCTCTAAAAATGAGTGAATTATTGCTGTTTTTATCTCCCGGTTAGGTTTTATGCCTTTAGTAAATCTGTATGCAATATTTTAGAATTATCAACAATTTTAAAATTGTTTAAGTGCCGCTAAGCCTAATTTGATGGCGGCCATTGCTCTTGTTTACATTTGAAACAGCTGAGTTAAGCCTATTTTTTAAATAACGTGGCGGACATATTTGTTTACATTTGAAACAGAATAATAGTAGATTTGTTGCCAATCTAGAGATATTTAGCTTCGCAACAACAAAGATAACGCCTTCATTTATAATTTAAATCATGCATAATCCTTTCTGGAATTTTTTCGAGGAAATAAGCGTTTAAGATTTACTTCGTAATTTTTAATACAGATATTTTGAGTTTTTATGTATTTTTGCCTTGTCGCGAAGTGAAAACTGAATTAATTGAAAGAGAAATACTCAATCGTCTGTGAAAAACTGTTTCTGTTTTGTTTTGTTTGCTTAATTTCTTTTATACATCGTTCTAGCTTTATTATAGTATTTGAATAGAACATGTGGCAACGATTAGATAATTCTTTAAATGATGTAAATTTTGTGAATTCTGAGTTATAATATGAACGAAATGTAATAACTGTTAACTAAACCTAGCGCCAGAGTGTCGCTATGGTAAACAAAGTGAATTTGAAAGAATGCATTTATTCTATTGTGGTTTATGCGCTGTCGGCGAAGTAGGTTTAATACAATCTAATAAGTTTAAATGAAAAGCAAGAAAAAATGCGTATAATTTAATATTCCGTACAAGGAAGTCATGTGGTGTACACATGAGATTTTTTTTTTTTTAAGCCCAAAGGGGGCGTTTGAGACTAACAGCCCTTCTGGTCAGATATTTTCTGGTCAACCTGTTTAAAGAACTTAAGTAATGAAAAATCTGCTTGTGTGTATGTTTGTACGTTTCTGGGATTGTGAAAAAACAACGGCACCTACAGGCTTCCAATTTTGAATAATGTAATCCTCCACCCGAACATAGGTATTTGGAAGCCCAAATCTTGAATTTCGAATCTGTTTTATCATCTATTTCATATTTTTTAAACTTTAACAAATTTTTGCTTTGAAAAACTCAACCATTTCAAAACAAGCTGTGGCAACACACTGTGCGGAATAAAATATTTTTATCTCTAGCTTGCGAGAGTGCCTATCAGAAATACTAAAGATATGCTGTTTTTAAATATTTTTAGCTCAAATGCTCTCAGAACGTATACGTATGTGTAAATGAAAAACACGCTCCTTTGCGCGTAATATAAAATCTGAATGCTTTCAGATTTTTTTTTCCATGTTTGCGTTCAGCGCGCTAATCTGCTTTTCTTAACACAGCTTAAGGATAATTAATGCTTTTTTGTCCTTTTGCAACTCGTTTTGAACTTGCAAGATGAAATCGTTAGAACAAAAACCTTTTTTTTTTTTTCTCCACCCCCGCCTGTTCTAATCCCAATCGAAATGAGATTCTGTTTTGGGATAAATCGTTCTTTCTTCTTACTGGTGAAGAAAATGCC